TTGCTACCGAAGTGTCCGGCGTACAGGACGTCGTGGTATTCTTCGAGTAGTAACTGGCGCAAAGGAGGGTAATTGGGTACCCAGATTTTTGTGGATCCCTTCCGGTACGCGATGTCACTGTCCCACTGTAGCAGATGTCGCTTTTCTGCCAAGGGAATTTCGGGGTCGATGGCGTACCCGTGGGTGAAGAGTCCCTTGAGTAGTGGATTCATCCCTTCGACCTGAATCGCGGCAACGTGTGCAGGCCGGCTGAGCGCGTCTGCTTTGTTCTTGTGGCCGGGCTTGTACACGATGTCGTAGTGGAAGTGTGTCTCGAGGAAGTCGATCCACCGGACCTGTCGCCTGGAAAGGTTGGGTTGTGTCTTCAAATATTTCAGGCTGCAGTGGTCGGTGTAGACGGTTGTTCTTCGTCCTTCGAGATAGCATCTCCACGCTTTGAAGGCGATGATGATAGCAAGAGCCTCTTTGTCGTGTATCGGGTAGTTGAGTTCTGCCCCGTGCAGTTTCTTGCTGAGGTAGGCAATTGGTTGCAGTCCATTGCCCTGGTCTTGCATTAAGACTGCTCCCACTGCCTGGTCGCTGGCGTCAGCTTCGATTACGTAGTCACGTTCGGGATCTGGCAAGATGAGCACCGGTGCGGAGGTTAGTGCTTGTTTCAGCTGCTCCACGGCTTCCTGGTGCTTCGTCTCCCATTTGTAGGGCGTGTTCTTCTTCAACAGATTCGTGAGTGGTGCCGCGAGTTTCGCATACTGTGGCACGAACCTGTTGTAGTAATTAGCGAAGCCTAGGAACTGCTGCAACTCCTTCACGTTCTCGGGTGTCTTCCACGTACGTACGGCTTCGATTTTCTTGGGGTCGACGTGAACTCCTTGAGCGCTCACCATGTGGCCTAGAAATTGGACCTCCTCCAGGGCGAATTCGCTCTTGGACAGTTTGACGTAGAATCGTTCCCGTCGAAGAATTTCGAAGACGCGTCGCAGGTGTTCGACGTGCTGTTTCATGTCGCGCGAGTAGATGAGTATGTCGTCCAGGTACACCACCACGCATTCGTCCAAGAGTGGTCGTAAAATGTGGTTCATTTCGGCTTGGAACGTTGCCGGTGCGTTGGTGAGTCCGAACGGCATTACCAGATACTCGTACGATCCGTACCGAGTTCGGAAAGCAGTTTTGTGGATAGAGTTGTCCGCCATCCGTATCTGCCAGTATCCGGACCGCAGATCCAGTTTGGAAAATACCGTAGCTCCCCGAAGCTGGTCAAGCAGGTCATCGATTCGTGGTATCGGATATTTGTTCTTGATGGTCTGCTTGTTAAGAGCTCGGTAGTCGATGCACATGCGCAGGCTTCCGTCCGGTTTCGGTGTGAAGAGTACTGGGGCACCGTATGGCGAAGTAGATGGTCGGATGAGTCCTTTGGCTAGGAGATACTCGATCTGCTTCTTCATGTCGGTCAGCTCCGTAGGGCTGAGCCGGTATGGTGCTCGGAAGGTCGGCTTCGAACCCGGTTCCTCCACGATCTCGTGTTGATGCGTTCGGTATGGCGGTAGCTCGTTCGGAAGATCGTCAGGAAGAATGTCTTGGAACTCCTTCAGTAATTCCTTGATTTTTTCTGGAGTTTCCGAGGCTTTCTCTCCGTCATTCTCCATTTCTGTTGCTATCGCCAGGAACCCGGTGTCGGTCCGCTTCACGTCCTTCTCGAATCGTGCGAGTGTCTCCACTGGGATATCTCCAGTATCGTCCCAGTTGGGTAGCTGTACTCTCCGTCCATTGTTGTAGATGCTTGCGGTGCGGTTCACCCAGTTGATCTCGGGGTTGAATTTTTTCAGGAAGTCTCACCCGAAGATCAAGTCAAGCCCTTTGATGTTGGTGATGGGGAGTGTAGGTCTCCAGCGCAGTGGTCCAATTTGTAGATGTAGCACTGCTTCGCCGTGTACTGGTAACTTGCTGCCGTCCACCATCGTTGCAGAGAATCCTGAAGGCTTGTACTCTTCCCGGAGTCGGTCGATCATTGCCTTGTCACAGACGGTGTGTGACGCTCCGCTGTCCACGAGTGCTTGGAGGCGTCGTCCTTTGCAGATGACCTCGAGCACGAGGGGCAGTCGTTGCTCGGAGTACCCAAAGATAGTTTCATTGATTGGGTCATAGGGTACATCCCAATATTCCGTACACACCTTTGTGTTGTTGTCTACTCCTGAGCTGGCAGCTGGCCAAGGCTGCTTGGAGAACGGCTCTTCTCCAGGGCCCGGAGTTTCTTTGACGACTGTGCGCGTCATTGATGCCGAAGAACTGGATGCATCCGTAGAAGGAGTTCGGGGTTTGTGCAGCTTCTTGTAGACCCCCAGCTTCCTCTTGAGCTGCTTCAGCTCCACCGACGTCTTCCCTGGGGAGCGGGTAGTCGTTATGGGCTGGTGTCGGGAGAGGACGTTGACTCCGTGGAAAGGTCGGCTTCTTTCCACACTCCTTAATTTGGTCCCCAAGTTGTCCGGTACCGGTATAATCTCCACAGCTGTTTGCTTCTTTTGGAGTCCCTCCCGAAATTTCTCCAAGGCTCTAGCTCCTCGAAAATCATAAGTTTTCATTAAAGCATCTTTATAGGATAGCTTTAACGAATTCTTATAATTTCTTGGGTCTTCAAGGAGTTTCCCCGTCTCGGCAGAGTCTTTTTTCGCGGAGTCTGGTTTTTCCTCGGCGAATTTCCCTGGCGAAGACTGGTCGTGGGGTGGAGATTTTCCCCCATCATTTCCTCCTGCTCGCGTCGAATCAGCTTCGTCGAAGTTGATTTTTTCGGAATCCCGCGGCCGTTTCCGGATCTTTTTATTTTCGCCAGCTAGATCCGCAATCACTGGCGACTCCCGTTTTTTGTCTTCTGATTGGCCGGAAGATTTCCGCCACTGTTGCGTGCCCGATACTCTGCGCGTGCGGTCTTCATTTTGTTGCAGTCGAAGATTCGGTGGCCCGGCACCCCGCAAAAATCACACGTGTAGTTGGTGTTTTTCGGACGTGGCCGCCCCTCGAATCTGTCGACTTCCATCGGGTCGGCGAACGTGGGGTGAGCCGAGCGGTCGCCCTGTCGCGTACTGCCGACGTGCGTCCGTCGTGTTCCGGCGTTGACCATGTCGAAGCGCTCCGCGGCCGAAACGACGTCACTGTAGCTCGCGTAGTTTGACGCTGCCACCTGTCGTTTGACTTCGGTCTTCAGCCCGGCGAGGTACGATTGTACTTTTTCCCCTTCGGTCAGGTCGGGAATTCGGTTATAAAATTCTTCCATCTGCTGCGTGTACTGCGCTACACTCCCGAACTGTCGATGACGATGAATTTTTTCGCGGGCAAGAAAACTCGAATTTATCGGCTCGAATCGCTTCAGCAGGTCGGTGCGGAACTGCTGCCACGTGGCTTCACCGTGGATGAAGGTGCTGTTGCCGCCAATCCACTCGAGTGCCGGCCCTCGCATCAGTGTCGCCGCGAGTCGTACACGTTGACCGTCCCAGACTGGCGAGCTCCATCCGACGGCTGCGAAGTAGATCTCCATCCCGGCGATCCATCTGCGGGCGTCGGAGTTTCGATCGCTCGGATCGAACGGCTCAGGTGGGCGCGGTTTCGGAGCCTCGAGAAACTGCTGCGACTGCTGCGTCGTCGCCGTTGTCGTCTCGTGCTGCGCTCCGGCGAGTCGAGTTACTCGCTCGAACTAGTTTCGCCACGCTTCGCGATCCGCTCGCATTTCCTCCTGAAGGGCTGCGATGCGCGCGAAGAGCTGCTGGGTAACCTCGGCGTTGTCGAAGGTTGCCATCCTGTTCAAAACACGCACGGAGGGGGTAATTCGAAAATCGCGGAGCTGGTGCTTACCAGAATCGGCGTCGAATTGGTCGCCCCCGGCGGTTTTTCGAGGCAGGATCCCCGCTGCTGCTGCTTAGCTGAGCGCGGTCGAGTGAGAAAAGCTCTGATTACCAAGTGTCACAGGATCGAATGTGTCGAGGAAAGGTTGCACTATCGATCAGTACAAGGCGCTTTTATACTTCCAGAGTACATCAAGTAACCAGGTTTATCCTATCTAAAGGAATAGACCCTTCTAGAAAATAGAATCACCCTGCGTATAACCATGCGAGGCTATTGGTTTTAAGAGATTACGACAGGATTACGCTAGATAGCGTGTCTAGAACATTCCATGCTTGGTCGGTGATATAATTATAATAAGGGAAGAAACCAAAGGATAATGGAAAATGGGGAATATGAGGCAAAAGGAGCTGAGATAAAAAGAGGAATGAAATGAAGATGAAATATGGAAAAGGCCAAGTGGTGTAACGGAGTCGTACTCTCACATTACCTTACCAACACATACAACCTCAAACCCACTACAACATCTTTGATGTTGCAGTCGCGGCACTTGAGAGTGTTGGGGTTTGGTCTAGGGCAAGGGTTGGTGGTGCTTGACAATCACATACTGCAACTTTTCAGATCGAATTGCTTCCCTTCTCGTTTTTACTAGGTGATTCATGGCTGCCTAGCCAAATTACCAGAATATCCCCTCACACTGATTTCGTCATAATCGGCGGCTCAGATCTTGGTTATGAACGTGCTTTACCATTCTGGAAAGTAGAGATTAAGACCTTTCCAACGCGTATAAGCTCATTTCTAGAAGTTACCTGAGCTGCACGCAATGTTCTGTTGAGATCGTCAAACTTAATCTCTAATTAGTTCTCTCCAGATTTGCACGATTTCCATCAGTAGTATTAGAGCCACGGTTAGAGGACGTTCTTTCCTCCATTGGAAGAGATCTAGAGAGGCTTAAAGTGCTCCAGATCTAGTGTCTGACATGGCCCAAAAGTTGGATGGCCCTCCTAGGTTTACCGGCTCAGACTTTTCGCTATGGAGGTTCCAGTTCAAACTATGGCTAGGTATTAAGGACCTAGAAAGTGTGTTGGATGGATCGGAGAAGCGACCACGAGCTGACTCTGGGGAGGCGTCTACTGGAGCAACCAGCCAAGTGGGATCCGGGGCTGGGGGAGCGTCGTTGAGTGGGGGGAATGAAGGAGGAACCGCTGCAACTCGAACCGGAAGGTCGCAACCAAGTCGCGAGGAGTTGCTCAAAGCTCAAGAAGCATGGGATCGGAAGGATCGCCAGGCATTTCAGTACCTGTGTTGGGCTTTGGAGGGGCAACTTGAGCTTCTTAAGATGCTGATTGACCTGAAGGGGAAGGAAGGTGCAGCAGCTGCAGCTTGGAAAAGAGTGCAAGATAGGCACTTGCAGAAAGGGCTTCTAAGCGTGCTTACTTGGCGGAAGCGGTTTTACACCATGGAGCGGAACTATGGGGAGGGGGAGACCATGGTTCAGTATCTCCAGAGGGTGGATGAGAATGTGAGGGCTTTGGAGGAGCTAGATTACACGGTAGATAAGAAGGAGATCATCTATACTGCACTCCAAGGGTTGGATCAAGCGGCTAATGAGGCATTACTACAGAACCTTCACCTCGAGCAACAGAAATGGACCAAGGTGTGGATTTGGGAGATTTTAATTTCTGATGAGGCTCGCAAGGTTGATGCTGGAAGAGGCCTAGAAGGAGGCATGGGGGCAGCAGATAAAGCTTCCTTCAGGAAAGGCTATCAACAGCAAGGAGGTGGGGGGAAGAAGAAAGAGTTGGACAAATGCCTTGTGCCCGGATGCAACAAAAAACACTCTTGGAAGAGTTGCTGGAGTAGGCCTGAGGGATGGAAGCCTCACGGCTACTCTGGAGAGGCACCACCAGTGACCAAACCTGATTGGGTGGAGAAAAGGATGAAGAAGGGGCTCTGGAATAAGAAGGGCAGCAAGGGAGCAACGGCCGCAGCTGCTAAGGATGAGAAGGGGAAGGGCCAAGACGACTCCTCCGATGATGGTTTCTCGTTTCTCATGCTAGGGCAGGATGCATCTCTTGCTGGTCGTGCATTGGCTGATCCCAACTTCCTGGTTCTAGACTCTGGAGCAACATCTGGGATGCTTCCTCGCCGTGATCTTTTCACCTCCTACCATCCTCTCCCACCAAACTCTAGGAGAGTGATTGTTGGGAGCGGAGATTTGCTGCAGGCAATTGGCATCGGCACGATCACCATTAAGGGGAAGGAGGGGGAGCTAGTGGGTGTGAAGGGGGTCCTTCACGTCCCTGGTTTTGCTGCAAACCTCCTTTCATGCTCGCAGCTGGCTAAACAGGGATACATCTGCACTTTCACTGAGGGAGGGTGCACTGTTAGAAAGGGTGAAGCTGTGGTGATGGAGGCAAAGCTGGACAAGGGTTTATACCTTGTTCCAGCTTGTGTGCCTAATTGTTACAAGGCACATATGGTTTTTTCTGAGGAAGCCGCTTGTAGCACTCGCTGGAAGCAGGTGGAAACGGTGTCACCTGAGTTGCTACACCTTCGCATGGGGCACGCGGGGAAGCAGCAACTACTGGAGTGTGTGAAGAAGGGGGAGCTGAAGGGGGTGGAGGTCAAGGAAGGAGCTGGGCAGTAGAGAAAATGTCCTGACTGCACATCTGGAAAGCTGCCTAGAACCTCATTCCCTATCTCCTCTGATCATGCCTCGACTCCCCTTGAGCTTGTACACACGGATGTGTGTGGACCGATGCAAACTCCTGACCGGGAAAGGGGCAGCAGGTACTTTGTCACCTTTCTTGATGACTTCAGTCGACTTAGCTGGGTCACCTTGGTGAAGACCAAGGATGAGGTGGCAAAGGTGTTTAAGCGGTGGATACGCTATGTGGAGAGGGAGTCAGGGGCCAAGGTGAAGGTGTTAAGGTCAGATCGGGGTGGAGAGTACCTTGGGAAAGAACTTCAAATCTTCTTGGAAGAAAAGGGTATTTCCCACGAGCTCTCTGTACCTTACACGCCGCAGAAAAATGGGGCAGCGGAGCGGCTTAACAGGACTTTGACCGATTTGGCTCGGGCCATTCTTGCCCATGCCGAGCTTGATAACACTTGGTGGGGGGCAGCAGTGCAGTATGCCAACTGGTTGAAGAACAGGATGGGCAGCAAGGGGCTTGGAGGCAAGAGCCCATACTCCTTATGGACAGGGAAGGTGTGGAATGTTTCCATGGCACGAGTGTGGGGGTGCATGGCACAGTATAAGGTACCTGACCAGCAAAGGAGGAAGCTAGATCCTAAGGCACAGTGGGGGATCTTCCTTGGGGTTTCTGAGAGGAGCAAGGCTTGGGTGCTATGGAGTGTAGCTGACCAGCGTGTGATGGAGAGCCGTGATGTGATTTTCCATGAGGGGCTGAATTATAAGGGGTGGAAGGAGCGTGGTGCAAGCCATAGTGGGACTTCCAATCAAGACCCTCATACGGCCTCTATCTTTGAGGGGGCATGGGAGGACCCTGGAGATGAAGGGGAGGAGCAGCAGGAGGAGCCAGAACCAGCTGATTCTAACCATGAGGAGTCCCGAGAGACAGATTCTACCCCTCAGCCAGCCACGCAGGCCGATGTGCATGATGATCAGCCAGAGCAGCATGTGCCTTCAACTCCATCGAGAAGCAGTTGGCAGCAGTTGTTGAACCAGCAGCTGTCCAAGACTCCAAGGACTCCAATGAAGAGGGTGACTTGGGAGGAGAAGCTGCAGAGGCTGGAAGAAGGAGAGGCAACACCTCTGCGACGCAGTGCTCGAATTTCCCAGCCACCTGAAAGGTTTACCCCGGGGCACATTGCACGCATGCATGATCATCTTGTGTCTGATTTGGATGATTGCATGCTTGTGGACATGCATAGGCATGAGTATGCTCTTGATGTGTGTCTAATGGGTCAGGTAAATGAGCCTAGGTCAGTCCACGAGGCGCTGAACCGTCCCGAATGGGTTGAGTCCATGCATGAGGAGCTTGAGTCTCACAAGGTAAATGGATCATTTGAGCTGGTTGATCCAGCAGTGGTACCACCTGGTTTGGAGGTCCTCAGGTGTCAATGGGTTTGGAAATACAAACATAACCCTGATGGTACCGTTGAGAGGCCTAAGTCCAGATTGGTGGTGATGGGAAACATGCAGAAATTGGGAGTACACTATGAAGAAGTGTACTCTCCAGTTGGGAAGCATGCGACCTTGAGAGGTATGCTTGGAATTTCGGCTGCTTTGAAGCTTGACATCCATCATATGGACGTCAAGACAGCCTTCCTCCATGGGGATTTGGAAGAAGAGCTTTATATGCGGCAACCCCCTGGTTTTGATGATGGGTCTAACCGAGTGTGTCTCCTCAAAAGGTCCATTTATGGGCTGAAGCAAGCCCCACGACAGTGGTACCTGAAATTTGATGAGGCTCTCATGGATTTTGGGTTTGAGAGATCTGAGTGTGACCCTGCCTTGTACCACTTTGTGAGAGATGAGGAGAGGATCTCCTTATTCCTCTATGTGGATGACCTTTTGCTCCTATGCTCTAGGAAGGCTTTGCTGGATCAAGTGAAAGAATTCTTGTCCTCGTGTTTTCGCATGAAGGACTTGGGGGAGGTGAAGTAATACTTGGGAATGCAAATTGAGCGTGATGAGAGTGGTATCTTGATTCATCAAGAGAGGTACATTCTTAACATGCTTCAGTCCTTTGGTCTTTCAGAGGCCAACCCCGTGCGTACTCCTCTGCCGACAGGCTTTGATGTGCATGCCTATGAGGATGAACCTTTGCTGCGAGATGAGCTGGTCAAGCTCTACCAAAGCATTGTGGGATCCCTCATGTATGCTTGTACTACCACACAGCCGCAGATTGCATTCGCAGTCTCACAGCTATCTAAGGTCGCCTCTTGTCCTAAAATGTTCCACTTGCAGGCCGCTAAGAGAGTGCTGAGGTACCTGAAAGGTGGTGTCAAGTCAGGTATCTTCTTCCAAACACAGCCCCAATCTCAGGTCCAGCTGGTTGGCTTCAGTGATGCCGACTATGCTGGAGATTCCGCAAGTCGCAAGAGTCACAGTGGGTATGTGTTTTGCCTGAATGGGGCAGCTATCTCTTGGCAGAGCAAGAGGCAGCCCGTGGTGGCACTCTCTACCACTGAGAGTGAGTACATAAGTCTGTGTCAGTGCATTCACGAGGGTGTGTGGCTGAGGCGTTTGTTTGGGGAGTTTGGCCATGCTCATACTGGTGGTGTGCCTGTGTTTGTGGATAATCAGTCTGCCATTGCCCTTGCACAGAATGCATGCTTGCATGGCCGCACCAAACACATGCAGGTCCGGTGGCATTTCATTTGGGAGATGGTGGCTGCGGGAGAGGTGATTTTGCAGTGGTGCCCCACCAACCGTCAGGCTGCTGATATCCTTACCAAGGCTCTTCCATTTGAGCGCCATGGTGTGTGCATGACCTTGCTCGGGATGCAGCCTCATGATGACCGGGTTCCCGCAGCAGATGACGGCGTCTTGGTGCTCCTCTCCTTGGCGGACTCCATGCTCTGGGTGGCCCCAACCCATGGGCAAGGGGGAGTGGTGTGAAGTCTTTTGCCCTATGGTGTTGAGCCACACCCAGCACGAGCAAGGGGGAGTGATAAATGTGTATTATTCTGTGGTGTAGTTGGCTCTAGCTGGTTGTGGGCTATTGGGTTTTGGGCAAAAGGACTTGGGCTGGTTGGCAAGGTTTGAACTCATTACCTTACCAACACATACAACCTCAAACCCACTACAACATCTTTGATGTTGCAGTCGTGGCACTTGAGAGTGTTGGGGTTTGGTCTAGGGCAAGGGTTGGTGGTGCTTGACAATCACATACTGCAACTTTTCAGATCGAACTGCTTCCCTTCTCGTTTTTACTAGGTGATTCATGGCTGCCTAGCCAAATTACCAGAATATCCCCTCACACTGATTTCGTCATAATCGGCGGCTCAAATCTTGGTTATGAACGTGCTTTACCATTCTGGAAAGTAGAGATTAAGACCTTTCCAACGCGTATAAGCTCATTTCTAGAAGTTACCTGAGCTGCACGCAATGTTCTGTTGAGCTCGTCAAACTTAATCTCTAATTAGTTCTCTCCAGATTTGCACGATTTCCATCAGAGCCTAGACTACACACGGTGGACACACCTACGCTAGGCAACACCGGGTAATAGGGTCCAATCACACTAGAGTCATCAGCATACATGACAGACATAGCATTCCTGATCTGATCCATGTCAAGCTCAAAGACCGGCAAACGACGGCGAGTCAGGGCGTACCAGTTCGAGGGTCCGACGCAGGACCAAAGTGGTGACGGAACAGGTCGTCCAGGCGACAATAGCAGCGGCCGGCAGTGTGGCCGGGCCGGAGGCAGACAGTGCCGCGGCGAGGGCCGGTCTGAAGCTGGTACTGGTAGGTGACAGTGCTGGAGCTGCCACATGGCACTGAGCTGCGCCCGCTCCCCCCACGACCACCGCCGCTAGCATCGCCAATCCACCACGGCGACTACTGCTGCTGCGACGATTGCGGCGGCGGCTGCGGCTGCTGCGGTTGCTGAGTCTACTGCTGCTACTGCTGAGGCTACGTCTACTTCAGCGGCTGCTCCGGGGCACCAGCCCTGGTCCCCTCGTCAGAACCACCATCCCCCCCCTCACCGCCGACACCATCCCCACCGCCACCTCCTTTCCCCCCACCACGCCCCCCTTTGGGGCGGCGACCCTTACTTGGACGCTTCTGCGCTAAGCCCACAGCAGCGGTCTCAGCAACAGCAGCAAAGACGTCAGAGTAAGTGCACTTGGAGGGAGCACAGCCCTGAAAGATAGGTATCGCTGCAGTACCGCTAGACTAAGCGATACCGCGTTGGCGGGTCTCTTTTTCAGACAGGGCAGTGACAAAGGCAGTACGAGTGAGGTCACCTGGGTGAAGACTAAGGAAGTGGTCGCGGGTTGTGGCTAGGCGGTCAGGGAGGCGCGTGGCGATGAGATAAAGGGTAGCGCAGAATGGCGGCGGAAATGCAGTGAGCTGTGCCTCAGTGCTAGGAGCGTGGTAGCTTGTCTCAAGCGCGCAGAGGTGTGGTGCAAAGTCGGCGACAGTGGGGAAGGACGCAAGATCTGGGAACAGCATGGGAATGACCAGCAAAGGCAGTGGCGGGGGTGGAATAGCGCGCCATGATAGCATCTAAGAAGGCTTGGGCGTTCGCTACAGTGGTAAAGCGAGGACGCTCAGACAGCGGGAGCGCACGGCTGATAGCAAGCTGGCGACCACGTCGTGCGAGTCCCAGATGGCACGATCAAGCGCAGCAATAGAAAAGGCCTCACGCTCAGCAGTGGTGGGGGCATCAGGGAGGGCAGCAGGGGCAGGGGGGCAGGGAAGCCCGCCATCGACATGAACAGCCAGGGAGTGACCGTCCTAGCGCTGACCTGCAAGGTGGCGCCGAAGGTCGACAAGCCACGCCTCAAAGTCGAGCGCCCGACCCTCTGCGTCCAAACGGAGCTGTGACTCCGCCATCGCCATTGCTGCAGCTACTGACGACCACTGACAGAGTGAGGAGGACAGGTAGAAAAGCGGTGAAGAGCGCTGGAGTGCGGTGGGATGTGGTGGAGTGCGGTGTAGTGCGGTGGAGTGCTGTGTAGTGCGGTGGAGTGCAGTGGAGTGCGGTGTAGTGCAGTGGAGTGCGGTGGAGTGCGGCGGAGAGCGGTGGAGAGTGGTGGAGACAGCCGGCAAGGAAGCCGGCGCTGAAGGGAGCTAGAGCCAGTGGGTCGACGCTAGGACTCGACGGTCCGGCGGCTGGCCGCTGAGGCGGGGGCCGGCAAGGCTGAAGCCGGCTGGCTGGGCGGCTGGCTGGTCGACCGACCGGTGAGGGCCTACGGGGCGCACGGGGCCGAAGGTGCGGGGGCGGGGCCGGTAGGGCAAGTAGGGGGTCGACGGGGCGCTAACAAGCCGGCGAGGCGAGCAGGGCCAGAGGGGCGCACGGGACCGACGGGGCGCTAACGGGGCCGGTAGGGCGCGAGCGGGCCGGCGGGACGCTAACAGGCCGGTGGGGCGAGCGGGGCCAGAGGGGCGCACGGGGTCGACGGGGCGTGAACTGGGCCGTCAAGGCGCTAACGGGTCGGCAAGGCACTAACGTCCGCTGGGGTGAGCGCGGCCAGAGGGGCGCACAGGGCCGACGGGGCGCGAACGTGTCGGCTAGGCGAGCAGGACCAGAGGGGCGCATGGGGCCGACGGGCCGCACGGGGCCGGCGGGGTGCTAACGGGCCAGAAGGGCACTAGCAGGCCGGCAGGGCGAGCAGGGCTAGAGTGACTACTCTTCCAGACCTTTGCCTTGACCCCGAAGATGACTACTCTTCAAGTAATGCTACACATAGCAGCACAGCGTGAATACAAGCTGCACTCACTCGACTTCTCCACAGCTTTCCTCCAGGGCAGTCTACACGAGCAGGTCTACCTGCGCCCCCTCCAGGGCTTCTCCGTACCTTTCCCCTTGGTACTGAGTGGCTCCTTCGGCGCCCTATCTACGGCCTGCGCCAGGCGTCCCATGAGTGGCATGACACGTTGCATGCTACACTTGCTGACCTGCAGTTCTTCCCATCGTCTACAAGCTCCTCGCTCTTCGTCCGCTTCGGCCAGACTCCGTTCTACATCCTTGTTTATGTAAACTATCTGGTCTTTGCTACTGCAGACAGAGATGCGCTGGCCTTCGTGAAGGCTGAGCTGCTGAGGAGACACACCTGCACTGACCTTGGAGAGTTGCGCCGCTACCTTGGCTTGCACATCTCTAGAGACAGAGCAGCGCGCACCATCACTCTCACACAGTCACACTTGGTGCGCCAGGTCCTTCAGAGGTTCAGCCTTCAGTTCTCTTCCCCAGAGCCCACCCCTCTGGTAGTAGACCACAGGCTCTCTGCTCCAGTTCCGGAGGAGGCTCTGGAGCCTAGTGGTCCTTACGCAGACCTGATGGGTTGCCTCATGTACCTGATGACTTGCACTCGTCCAGATCTCGCATACCCTTTCAGCTTCCTGGCCTGCTTTATGGCCTCCCTCAGACACCGACCACAGCACTTGTCTGCAGCTAAGAGGGTTTTGCGTTATCTAGCAAATACATCGGGCATGGGGCTAGTGCTAGGAGGCTGCAGACTGGTGGTCCTTACATGGCACACAGACGCTTCTTGGGCAGACGACGCCGAGACTCTCAGGTCCTCCCAGGGATACTGCTTTAGCCTTGGTGCACGTGCTCTCTTTTGGAGGTCCACCCGCTCGTAGTCTGTTGCCCAGTCTAGCTGTGAGGCTGAGATCTACGCCGGTGCCATGGCGGCACAGGAGCTCCGTTGGCTGACTTTCTTACTCACAGACTTAGGTGAGCAGCCGAGCTGTGCCCCAGTCGTGTACGCTGACAACAGGGCCATGATCTTCCTGTGTCAGGAGCCCAGACTCGTGGGAAGAGCGAAGCACATCCAGCTGCGGTACTTCCTCCTGCGCGAGCTATAGCCGCGTCGCCAGGCCCACGTAGAACTTTTGGCCTCCGATGCCAACACATCTAATATCTTTACGAAGGTGCTTGCGCCTAAAGATCATCAGCGGCACTGCCTACAGCTTGGACTCCGCACCTCATTTGCTAGGACCTTGATTGTGTATAACTCTTTATCTATTATCGTGACTTGCCTTGTGGCTTTCTCCAAGTGGCTGGACTAGTAGTGCCACCCTGGTCTTGTTCTTGCCTTGTTTGTACTCTTTTAACTGGTCTTTAGACCCCTACCTCAGAGGTTGGACTAGTAGTGCCGCCCTGTGCTCATCAGGCCCCGCCCCTATCTAGTGTAGGGGGCGTGTCAAACATATTTGTGTATGTTTAGTAGACTACATAGGGTCTTGCCATAGAGAGTACAACCCACTAGCTATATACCCCTGTATACGCTCATTCTAGTCAATCTTTCTAACTCTGAGAGAGAGGGGGCGCACGGGGGCGACGGGGCGCTAACGGGGCCGACGGGCGCTAACGGGCCAGAGGGGGCCGACGGGGCGCTAACGGGGCGCTAACAGGCCGGCAGGGCACTAACGGGTCAGAGAGGACGCACGGGGCCGACG